GGCGGCACTGGCCCCCTCCCCTCCGGCCTGCTCCGAGCCGGCGCAGGGCGGGGCGCACCGGGTAACTGGCACGGGATGGCAAATGGGGAGTTGGGTAACAGAGAGGGCCTGCTGATCATTTATCTGGAAGCCCCTCGCCCACTTAGCACCAGATCCTCACCGACCTCTTCGACATTCAAAGGCTGCCTTGATCACCCTTGTCCCTCCAGTTCCCAGTCCCGGACCCCTGGGTCCCCTTCCCATAACCACCTGCTCCCAAGGTCCTCGTCTTCCGCAGGACAAACCAAGCCCTACCTGGCCACACCTTCCTGGGTCACCCTCCAGCCTAGGAGGTCAAGGCTGCTCCCTTCCCCCATCACGCAGGCAGCTCCCCCAACACACCCACTCAGTTTCCCCTCTGCAGATCTGGGTCCCCTTGCCTTAAGCCAATCTGCACCTGCAGACAGAAAGTGCCCACAGACTCACCTGCCCAGGTAGGCCACACGCCTGGGACCCAGAAGAAGGGGTTTGCCATGGGATTTGAGCGGCTGCTCTTTAAACTGGCTGCTTGGGGACTCCCGAGGCAGGCCAGCCTGCTTGTAAACGCCAGGTCTGGGCGTGTCTCAGCATTGCAAGAGGCCGGACAGGATGTGACCCTGGGTCTCCTAGGCAGGCCTCCCACTGGTCTGCTTCAGTGTCCCAGCTCATGCTGTGGCCCTGGCACACACTGGGAACAAAGGGGACCTCGAGCTTGCCTATGTCCTTGGCCCCATATCCCAGCTGCAGGGCAGGACCCACTCTGAGCTCCCAGCAGCCTCACCCACTAGGCCAAGCTCAACCCTGACTCCCATCCCCAGCAAGCTGGCTAAAGAGGACACTCACCAGGGGCAACCCACCCCACCCCCACAGCTGGGCGGGGGACCCTGGCTGTCCTCTTGTGGGTCTGCACAGCCCTCCCATCCAGCTTGCCCACCCCCCATCTCGGGCCACAGCGAAGCTGGCTGACCCACAGGATCGACTGGTCCTGTTCCCTCTGCTGTGTCCACATGATGTCCTGGACTTGCAAAGGGGACACAATGCAGCTGAGTGCCCATTGCAGAGGTGCAGACAGGTAAGGCTGGGCCAGCACAAAAGCAGACCCAGAAATGTGCAGTAAACACAGGGCAAAATGGGAAGGAGAGGGTGAAGAGACCCGGCCTCTCCTCAGCTGACCACTTCGTGGAAGCCGCCTCCCTGGTCCCTGGTGTCGGGGGTTGAACCCTGTCATTCCCCTCCTCCAGGCCTGCCCACACTGTCCTAGAAACTTTCGTGACCCCTCTGGGCCCAGACACCTGCCCAGCCCTGACCTTCCTGGGGCTTCCAGAGTCCCAAGTGGGCACACTCCCTCACGGCAGGTGGGCAGCTCTGCTACGGGAAGCACTGCTTCTTCTCTCACTTCTGCCAGGCCTGGGGCCAAATATACTCACAGGTACTAATCCATGGGGCTGGGAGGATCTTGGTGGTCCAGTGTGGGCCCTGACGGGGATGGCCCACTGTTGTCACGGACTTGTAGGCTGAGACCTCGCCCAGAGGCAGGTCAGTGGGCAGCCTGAGTGCCAGGGCACCACAGCTCTCTGTCACACCGGGCTGGAGCCCTCTGTGGGGCTGAGTCATTTAATCTTCTCAGCGGCCGTACAGCACCATTCTGTCACTGACAGTGACTAGCAGGAGGCCAAGTGACAGGCCCAAGGTCACCAGCTGGAGTAGCCCAGCCTCCCTCAGTGGCCATGGGGTAGTGGCGAGCAGGAGCTGGCCTGATTGTGTGTCCAGAGGTCTTGTTGGGTCCCTGCTGCCATGCTGTGCTCAGACAGTACCTTTGCCTGCCTGCCCGGGAGGCAGGGGTGTGCCCTGCAGGTGCTGACAAGGAAGGGTGGCAGGCACAGTGACGTGTGAACTTCAGATGAACAATGAACTCTTAGTACAAAAATTCTGGCTCAAAAGAATAACTAGCAGGGGCTTGGACAGGCAGCTGATCAGCCTTGTTCCCAGCATTCACAGCGCCAACAGGCAAAGACAGGTGATGGAAACAGGACACCCACAGCACCAGCGCTGGGAGACTCCACCAGGCCCACTCAGAACTGGCTGGTGGAATGGTGGCTGCATGGGGCTGGGGAGGGACAGAGTTAGAGTAGCACAAGATGAACAGGGCACAAGGTAGGCAGTGGTGACAGCTGTGGAACATGTGCCTGCCACTGAGTTGTGCTCCGCTGAGATGGTGCAGACAGTAAGTTTCATGCATATTTTTCCACAGAAACAAAAAGCAAAATGACCTGCCCCTCAAAAACATTTGCAACACACGTACTAATATGGGAGTGTGTTTACACTAAGAATTTGTCATTTACCAGAAATTAAAACATTGAGGATCTACTGAGCTACAAAATGAATCACTATTTCCAACATCACTGGGTCCTATATTTTACCTGCCACGTGCTGCAGTCCTGTGAGGGCTGAGTCACACAGTCGTCCATGCCTGCAGCACCTACCACCTGTGTGCCCCGTCCCCCTGGGTGTTGTGGCCACTCCCACAATAGGTGGGCAATGCAGCTCGGCCTGCTGACAAGACGGCCTCATCACTCCTGGCTTCCTGTGCCCAGGGCCAGTGAGCAGTAGTGTTGACCTTGCATGCTGAGATGGCCAAGGTTGGCTTCCAGGAGGCGGGAGCCTGGGCACTGCAGGCAGCACGCCCCTCCCTGTTGGGGTTCCCGCTTCCAGGGCTGGCCTTGTGGCAGACAGGACTTGGACAACGCACAGGACCAAAGGTGCTCTCTGACCCACAACAGCCACGAGAGGTCTAGCAACTTGCCCAAGGCCACACAGCAAGGGTGTGCTGCCTGGCACTCGAGCCCAGTGGGCGGGCTGTGTCCACGCAAAAAGGCTTTGACTCCTTTCAGGATTGTCTCTGTGCCCAGGACTAGCCATTGTCCTTAAGCGAGATGGCCCTCAGCCCGGGTGTGGCTCCAACCACCAGCCCAGGCTGTCTCTCCAGGTCTGTGCCAGTGTAACGACAGAGACTGCTCATGAGTGACCCCCGCCCCTCCCACCGCCATGGGGCCTATGTGCGGATGCCCCCAGAGGACTCCAGACTGGTCCCGAGTGCCACCCCATGCTGACTGCCCTGGAGTCCCCTGCCACACCCATGCTTGTGGGAGGTGTTCAGTGAAGTCTGTCTTGGGGTGTAGCTCCAGGGTCTCTGCTTTAAGAGGGAACAGATGTTGGGGCCCCTGGTACCCCACACCTGGCACACACCTGTCCTTCCCATCCCTCGGCCAGGCTGGTGAAACCCTTTCTTCCCAGGGCGGCTCTGGCTGCTGGTCACTCGGGGGCTTCAGACCCAGCGAGAGTAGATGCTGCCTCCCACAGGGCCCTTCAGAGGGTGCTGATGCCAACCAGTGCTTCCAGCCAGCTCTGCCGGGCCCCACTTCCCACTGCCAATGGTTTCTCAGGGAGCCCAGACCTCCCTGTCTTGTCCCCATGTCCTCTCTCTGGTCCTTTCAACGACATGCAGGCACCACTGCTCCTATGCTCCTCGCCTTGGTTGACTGTGGCACAGAGTGTGGCAGTGGCTCTGTGGGTGGAATCCCCTAAGTGTCCCCATGGCAAGGACCCTGCAAGGGCTGCACAGGAGCCTGGAGCCTTCATGCTGACTGTGGAGATGGCCACATGTCTCAGGCTGCGAGGTCTGCCCTGGCCAGCCTGAGGGTCTGCTGTGGAGGCGGGAACAACTGCAAATCTGTCCCCTCCCTTCATGCTTATGTGACGTGTAAGCACATGGCCCCTGCGGCCTGAGAGGTCACTCTGGGCTTGCCCAGCTCTGTGGTCAGCACCAGCCACACCCATAGAAGAGGCTCTGAGGCCTCAGAGGCCCTGTGATCCTGTACCCTGACGCTCTGCAGGCAAAATTCACATTCCATATTGGGCACCAATCCGCTCATCAGCATGGGGTCCAGTAAAACTGGGCCACCTGTACTCAGAGTGACCAGGGCATTATGACTAGCTGGCTGTGGGCACTCCTGTCCCAGCATTTGGCTCTGCACAGCCTGGCAACCAGCCTAGCACGGACAAGAGCTTCAGTCATGGTGGGTGCTCTGGTGACTTCAAGTGCTGTACCGCAACGCAAACGTGGGGGACACAAGACACCAGGGGTTACCAGGGTGCTGGGCCCCAGGCCCTTCGACATGGTGGCCTCCAGGGGAGGACATGCTACATTTCAGAGGCGGACCCTTTCCTGACTTCTGTCCCCAAACCAGCACACACACAGGGTGGGTCAGTGCCAGTCTAGGCATTAAGCTACTGGGTGGAGGCGGCTGGGGCAGAGCTCTGGGCGCTGACGCCCCAGGACTTGGCCAAGTCACCTTAGGGTCTCATCCTCTACACAGTGTGTTCTGAGCACCATGGAGAATGCTGAGTGTGAACGCTGGGCAAATCTCATGGCAGATGGCCTCACGGGCCTTCTCCCAGGGCTGGCAAGTGGTCACAGGTGAGCAAGTGGGATGTGCTCTTTGGCCCCGAGGGTCTGGTGGGCTCTTGTGGCTGAGAAGCTTGGGACACACAGTATCACAGGGTACCCAAAGGTGGCCCTGCCTCCGAGGCACACCAGAGCAGTTGGGACAGCTGCCCTCAGGCCATGGCTGTCCAAGGAGCTTCTGGTGCTGAGAGCAAGCCCAGGAAACAGCCCTGCAGGGAGGTGGAAGCACCTGCCCCAGCCTCTGCCAGCTGCCCCGGTGGAAACGTGTGACCCAATCTCACAGGCACTGTGGTCACCTGTCCCAACGGTGATGAGGCTCAGGATGTGCTCAGTCCCAGATGTGGGGGTCTGGAGGCTCTGAGTTCTCAGCAGACCCTGAACTTCAGAGGGGAAGGGAAAGAAGGATGAAGGCCCCATGCTCCCAGCCTGGCCAGCTCTCCCTGACCTCTACCAGGAGGCATCATGGCAGGGCTCTGGTATTGGGTGCCTAGCAGAAGGGCCAGCTCTGACCTTAGGAGACCCAGCTGGGTGTGGCTGGTAGAGGCTGGACCAACCTGCTCGAGGGTCCCTGTCCTCATGGCCCCATGAACTCCTGGCCCTAGCCTTAGGGCCCCTCAGTCCCCTGGTCCCTTGGCTGCACCTGGGGGAGCCTGTGACTTGGGGGTACAGCTGTCTACCCGCTGACCTGCCCTTACCCCGAACCTATAGGACAGAACCAATTGGAGGCCTGGCCTGTCCCTAGGTTGGGCAGCGCTGGGCGGGGCCCTAGGACCTATCTCTGGGACTCAGCTGTTTCATCTCCATACTACATGGAGCTTGGTCTGCCTGGCAGAAACAAAGCTCTGCCTTCTCTAGGAGCTGCTGGGGCACTGGGACAGGTGGCAAGGAGGAAAAGATGGGGTGGGGCAGGGCCTCAGCCTGCTCTGCCACCTCCAGCCCGGCCTTGCCTCGACCCGAATGGCTCATACCCCTGGACTGTGTCGGAGGCTGAGTGAGCTCCAGCCTAGAGCATGGGCCCCAGTTTTCTATCTGCTTCTACCCCAGCCTGGCCTGGGGACATTGGCTAGGGCCGGTCCCTCTGCTAGCCTTCTCCCACCAAGCCTGCTGGTGCGCCTTGTCCAAGACTCAGTGTAGGTGAGGGAGTGGTTGGGCCTCTGGGGGCCTGAGGTGGATGAAGGCGGGAAACAGGGCTGAGAGAGCCCCTGGGGGCTGCCCTGTCACCCCGCCAAGGCTTCAGTGCAAATGAGCAGCGGCTTCCCTGGCCGCGTGGCCTCAGGAGAGGTGGCCACACAGCAACCCGGGCTCCTCTGCTGCCCTTCCCATTCCACTGCTCCCAGGAAGTTTACCTGAGAGCCAGGTCCATGGCTACCTGGAGGCTCAGTCACTGCCACAAGGGGACCCTGGTCCAAGGTGAGCCAGACTGCCCGCCAGGGCTCTGCAGGCCGAGGCTGCACTGCTGTGGTGGGAGGGCCAGGCAGGTGGGAAGCGCCTGACTCTTCCAGGCCTTTGCTGGGCTCTGGGAGCCAGCGACTGAGGGACCTGGGCCGTCCTCAGACCACACTTCGAACACCCAGGCCTCGAGACTCTCTCCTGCTGTGAGCTGCAGGGTGTCCCGAATCCCACACACTGGGGTCCCAGTTCAGGGCATAGAGTGTACTCTCCTGCGGTATGGAGTCTGCAGATGAACCTGGATCAGGTGAGATCATGCTGCAGGCCCTCATCCAAGACTGCTGTCCCCATAAAAAGGAGAACTGAGACGGCAGCAGCCCTGTGAAGATGAAGGCAGGGATTTACAAGTCCAGGACACTAGCAAACCACAGAAGCCAGGTGAGGCCCAGAGCAGCCCTCTCTCCCACGGCCTCAAAGGGCAGCCTGCCGGCACCTGGCCTCAGACTCCCAGCCCAGAACCAGGAGACAACAAACGCCTGCGGTCGCCAGTCTGTGGCACCCTGCTAGGGCACCTGATATACCTTAAACACTCCCACACCTGCCATCCGGGCCCTGCCTGGCACCCAGGATGGAGCTGAAGCCTCCCCAGCCAGGGCACCGAATCATGAGTCTGGTGTGTGTGTGCTGGGGGATGCTGGGGACACGGTGCATCAGGAGGGTGGTGCCAGGTGCCTGTGCTGGGTGGGCACAGGGAGGACCTGTCTGAAGGAGGGGT